TCTAAAGATTGAAAACAAAAAAGAAAAAGGAGGAAAGGCAAAAAGGCCTGAAGAACAAAAAACAAAGAGAAAACAATAGAAGAAAGAAGGAAAGAAACGTCTAAGGGTCTATAGAAAACAGAAAAACAAAAAAAAATTGTGCTACTCATAGCCAGGAGCACGTCAAAACTGCATTCCACTGCACACCACTCCAACATTTGGCCACTCCTTTGCTTCGTCCAAAAATACAAGTAGCATGGTAATTTGTGTTTTTTCTTTCTTTCTGTCGGTCTGGTCTGGTCTGGTCTGTGCTGTGCTGTCTTTCTTTATTTGTTTATTTCTTTCCATCCTTCCTTCTTTCCGTCCTTCTTTCTTTCCTTCTTTCCTTCTTTTCTGATTTTTGTTCTTCCTTTAGTAGGTTATTCCCTTTTCACCCACTGGCATAGAAGCTTATTCGGATTAGTTTCGGTTTCTTGCTTCTTGTTTCAGGAAATGTCTTTCCGATTTCCGCAATTGAAGGGTTCTTGTTGTAGCAAACTTTGCTAAGGACTTTAGATCCTTCTATTGGACTTCAGCCCACAACTAGTGAAGGGGGAGCAAAACCGAATGAAACGGGTTCTCGTCTGCCAAGCGCACGCCGCTTTGCCTGCATGTGGAAAGTTTCTTTGGGCTCCTGAAGAACGCAAGAAACCAAGGATCTACGTCAAGAGCCTTTCAGCCTTTCCAGAACGCAAAGACCTAAATTCAGAGTTGATATGCTTCCTGTTCTTCTAGTCGAGTACATTATCACAAGCAAATGAGTTCCAACTTCGACGTTGGTCTTTTTGGGTGAAGTAAAACCCAACACCGACATCAAAGGTCTTCAACAACCTGATCGAATTGTTCTCAACACCTCACCTCAACACGGCACAACGACTGCTCAACACGGCATTGCTCGCCTTGGCCCCACTGCGAAATGTGCAAACATGGCAGGCCTCACAGGAGTCATTGGAGTCGGGAACGGGTTCATGCGGACATCAATTCGCTTCGTTTCATGCATAGAAGGCCGTTTGAAACATAGGTTTGGCATCGCCATTGAAACAGAATCATCTGCAATTGGTTCCAAAATCTTTGGTGGTTATCCAACGAATGTAATGTGGCACTTTGGCAACAATTCAACAAAGAAAAAAAGAATTAAGCAAACTCCAAAAGGCCTGAGATGGGCCCGCCCACGCCACCCTCCCCTTTGAACCACAAGAAAATCGCGCACGCTATGACCCTATGTAAAGGAATGTGAAGGTCACAACTACCCAAACATGAAGGCAAACGTAATCCAATACCAAACAACTCACATGATGTGACATGTGCCAAGAGCATGCAAGTGCAATTGTTATTGCCAAACATCGAGTTCCGAGGAAAATGTCAGCCGCACCCTCCTTGGGCAACTCACTGCGTGCACCTGCTCAATGGAAAACCCTCACACTTCATTGCGAACACACTGTTGCAAGGATATACGAATGTATTGACGTTTCTTTTCCATTTCCAAGAATAATGAACCGGCACAGTGCTGTCATTTCACAAGCTTGGGTTTGCACCCTTGCCAAATAAAAAATTGACACATGTTGTAGCGTACCCACGCTTTTTCAGCACATTGCAACGTCGCGGCTTTTCAAAACAATATTTAAATACTTTTTAACACCCCGACCCCAACATCACAAATGTCGCAAACAATGTTCTCCGCACAAAAATGAGGTTTTTGTAAAGCTGTCGAAGTTCCATCGGAAGTCAGTCGAACACATTTTCGAATACAGCAACGTACGCTTTTCCTACGTGTAACGCGCTTGTAGCTGAGAAGGGGTTCCTGCATGCAAACACTGCTGCGTGGCGTTTGACAAATTGCGAACTTTTCTCGATGCACAAGAGGGCTGAGGTCAGGCGAAAAACTAATGAACATGATGTAAACGTTATGTGTGATCTGTTAAGTTTCACAAATGAGGGGTCGTGCTTGAGAATAAGGGTCGCCTATGTGAATAAGCAATCGCATGTGGAACAGAACCGACGTAGGTGGTGAAAATGATGGCCACCTAGTTTTGAAGCGGAGGCACTCAACAGCTGCCTGTGCCCGTGGTCTTACCCCAGTTTCTCAAGAGAAGTTAGACTTGAACATGTTATTACATTGATAACCCTATGAAAACTGCGCAGCACAAAGCGAAGTCTAGTAGAGCAGAGTTAAGTCAGCAAAGTCTTTTCCGCTTTGGTTCTGTTTCTGCTCAGTTTGCTGTGGTAGCAACATCTTGCAGCTCTCCACTGGATAACAAACATCTACTGCCCGGTGGCACGCTGCCATCCATATCCCACACAAGACGGCATTCGCTGCCAAGCCAAAAGCCCGCTCTAATTTATCTACTCACTGAGACATGAGGACAAAACTGTTGTTTTTTGTGAACCATTGAACAAAGTTCACCAACTGGTCTTGATCCATCACCTGAAAACTGTTTGAAACACTTGGCCCTGATTCCAGCTACCTCTTTTTGGCAGCCTTGGCCAATGACTCGGTGATGGATTCACTGGCGGGCGGCCGTTTCCGGGACCTGGCACTGGAACTTTTGGAAACATCCTCAAACAGTGGCTGGTTCTTTGGTCTGCCACGTGTTTTGGGTGAAGCCTTAGCCTTAGGCTTGGCTTCAGCCTTAGGCTTCGGCTTTGCCTTGGCCTTTGCTGCTGTAGCCTTTGCCTTGGCCGCTGCTTTGGCTTTGGCCTTGGCCTCGGCCTTGGCCGCGGCCTTTGCTCCTGGTTCTGTGCGTTGCCGCTTTGCCGGTGGT